AAAATGTTCTGTTCCGAAACCGTTCGCGATCAAATTTTTGGTTGATGCGCGCAAAAGATATCGAGGTTTTAATTTTGGGCATAAGAAAAAAATCTTCAAATTACGCCGTTTATTATATTGACCCAAAACGTTGTTATATATCTACCTTCGTAAAATAAGAATATGAATACATTATAATAATTGCGATAAAGTTGCACATCTTCGCGAAATATGAGAAAAATAAAAATATATATAAGATTACATCAATATTTTCATTATATTAATGACATACACACATCTAAAAATCAATTTAAAAATATCTACATAATCTAAACACCATGATGAATCAAATGATATCAAAATCACACAAGTCCCTGTAGCGGTTTGTAAATCACAGCGACAACAAAACAAGATATTGAGCAAAAATATTAGTTTTTGGTTTAAAAAAAATAATGTCATCATATTTACTTTTTAATTTTATACAAGAAATTTCAGAAAAAAATGTTGGGGTTATTCTGCTATTTTACCCGAATTTCGCCGAAAAATTGGCATATATAAAAATAATCACTTTTTGTGTATAAGTATACGCCTTGCGGATTATATCAAGACCTTCCTATAAATCTTGGGGTTCTATAAATAGGAACAAATCTTAAAATAAAATAATATTATGAAATATACATTTTAAATTGCGTCTAAATCGCGTGATTCGTGATTCTTTCGGCTGAAGTTTTTAAAGTTCTCTTTTCGAAAAAGATCACGGATTTTGATCTTTTTTGAGGTCATTTATTGAAGCGGAAATGATCCACAGAAAACGCAAATAAATCCGCGATATTTTCAAAAACATTTTTTGCCAAATTTCGTGTTTTTGGAAGGCCAGTTCCCGCCGTTCTAGTAGATGGATTTTCACGAAGAAGATTTTATATCATCCGAAAGGTAAAAAACCTTATTGATCGCGGGTACCCATATCATTCAGTTGACAGATCTAAAAATTTGGCCCGAAAAATAGGTTTTTTAGAAATTTGATCGCACAAAATTTTCACCATCGGATGAGTATTACTCTGAAGCTGTGCATACTACATACACAAAACTCATGTCAAATTACGCAGATTCGCGACAGTAATCTTATAATTCACTCAAAATTGAGCTTCAAAATGTCAGCATCATTTAAAGGTAGATGCAGTTAAAATTTTGAAAAATGATACATAAGGGGCATAGTCCCCATTTTGTTGGCTTCTCGTTTTACTTTGACACGAAGACCGTGAAATGAGTGGCATAATCACAAATCGATAGAGAACATAAAAAACTGGTTCGCCTCAACCTGTTTTTACACATTTTTGTACATTAAAGTAGACACAGCTTCCACCAAAATAAAATTTGGAGGTCAATATCATGAACAGTTTGCAACACCAGATCAATTAACCCAAAACTATTCACTTTTTTCATATACTTAAGTAATTGCCGAGTTATAAAGGGGTGAACCTCCGCTTCAGCTATTTTAAAAAATTGGCAATATAGCCCATATGCAATGTGCTCTAAAAAAAACGATAAATATGTATGGCGTCTTTGTAAAACATTAACCTATAGTGTATAATTTCTGAGAACAAGTCCTTTTGCAAATTCGACCTAAAAGTATGCGAATAGTGCTAAACTTTACGAAATTTAGTTCTAAATGTGTATATATTGAACATATATAGTATATATATGTACATATATGTAGGATAAGAACTAACTTTTGGTATAAATTAGATTTAGGTGAACAGATATAGCTGGATTCTTGGATTTGGGAATTAAAATGACTGTTGGAGACGTAGTTTAATAAATTCGTACTTATGGGTACGAAAATTACTAAATGGTAGGGGAGATTACCATATAAAAAAATATTATTGCGGGTGGGAAAAATTTTAAACCGAGATTTTTTCGACCCGCAATAATACTTTTTTATATGGTAATCTTGTTCTCTAGCAGCGTAAATAACTTTGGTTGGCTTTTTCAGTTGTCGGCAAAGTGTAGATGAGTGAACAATTTTAACCTTTTTTTGCAGTGCCATTGTAACTTTTTATTTATTTTATTTTTTTTTTTTGTAAGGGCGCATGAAGAATTCAACGATCGTTTTCTTTCGTTAAACAATTTTTTTCATTTCGACAACTAAAATGCAGAGGGTGGGGCACCTTTGGACATGCCCAGTAAACTCGTGTAAAGCAACGGATTTTTTAACTGTTGGCTTCGATTTCTTTAAATTTTAAATGGGTTAATAATACAACGAAATTGCCTGTAATATTCACCACATTAATTTGTTTTTATGCATTCTTGGGCATTAATAAATTTTAATTTGAATTTGGGAACATTTTGTTAATGTTTTTAATAAATAAATACATTTGTGATAAGTATGAATAAAATATATAAATATTTGAATATAATCACTGTAAAATAACAATGCCGTTTAAAAATACCAAGCCAATGACTTGGTCCAGTAAAACAGTAATAAAATATTTAAATCGCTCTTTAAGTATTCCATATGTACATTTTATGTAAAGGTTACATTTGCATATTAGTTAAAAGTTATAAAAAAATTGAAAATTATAAAATAAAAAATTGTATGAGGCTTGAAAGGAAAAATGTTCAAAGGTGCCTGTCTCCTCTACTTAAATTTTGTATAATTTGAATTTTGGGTGAACGAATAGAGCTGATGTGTTCGCATACGAAGTAGCGTGGACTTCGCTAGTCCAAACTATAAAATTACAGTCAATTCTGTTGAAACACGTTTGGTGGAATGGTCACCAAATATGAAATATGATTACAGCTGATTGTGTTCATATGGGGGCTATTCGGAAGCTTGGTCAAATACCAAATATCAAGGGATACCATTATATGGGGGCTACCCGGATACTTGCACCAATATTTATAATTTTATGTAAGGAGATTTTCTGCTCAATGAGTATCCCTAAAATTAAATTACAATAAATCCTTTTGAATATTGGTGTACCGATATATGGGGGCTACGCTAAAAAATTAACCAATATGGAACATTTTCAATACCAAATATCTTAAATCGTGGAGGGTATAAATAGCTTACTTAATATTGGACTATAGTTATGGAAGTCTTGTAAATATAATATATTGTGAACATTTTAAATTAATCTGAAAGACAAACATATATGTGAATTTATATATATTTTCCACGAATCCTATTATTATTAAACATATATTCACCGTAACAAGATTCGATCATAAACATCAAATTATAGGTATTCAGTACTGTAATATTACAGTACTGTGAAACGATATTACAATAATATTATATGCATTATATGTGACATAATATTATATGCATTAGAAACGATGCTGAAGGTATAAAAAGTATAAAGTAATATAATAAGTATAAAAACAAATCTAAAATCGAAAATGCCGAAAAGACAAAGTTTGCGGGGTCAGCAAGACAAAGTTTGCGGGGCCAGCTAGTATATATCTATACTTTCTATACTTCTAAAACAAAACAAATGAACTTCCAATGATACTGCGGTATAAAAAAATGGGTTACGGATCGAAAAAAAGGTAAAACCCTCAGGAACTTTTATGAAAATTTAAATATCAAATGCTTAAGTTTGAAAACTGTGTTTCAAGAAATTAAGCGAGATCTTTATACAGAATGTCGAATAACAGTTACTTGGGTGGTAGTTTATTAATATCAATTGTATTTAAAGCTAAATCCTTGCACAGAATCGTGGACGTTTTCAACACTCATGTTTATTTCGTTATAAAGTCAATATAGTTTGTTGATTATATCTCGCATCAATCATCGCAAAAATGCAATAAAAAGTATAAGAAATGCAATTAGTCGGCTGTGAAGTGAATGTTTAGCTCAGAGGTGCTCCGCCGATGGGAGTCGATACGCCGAATACGTAGAGCAGTGGACCGTACGAATAGCCGTGTGCCGGAAAGTAAAGAAGAAAGTAAAACACAATAGTTTTCTTAATAGGTAATTCAATGGTTTATTTATAGGTTGAGTAGATGGTGGTAAAGATATTACCTTTGTATGCACAACGATATGTACTCGTAACGAGTAACGAGATGCTAGAAGGAGGCGGCAAAACCAGTGACAATAATTATTCGATAAAACGTCAAAAGCGCTAACCCAAGTTTGCAATAAACCGTAGCGCATTTATTTTAACGAATAATTAAAGACCAAAACAGGGGTTAATAAAAAGTAATTCATTACATTTCTAAATTAAACAGTGAAACTACATTGATTTTACACACACACTCACACACACTTTTTACCGTAAATATACATCCATGCCCTTTTTGTGCTTGATATGTATACAAAATTCAGTATATTGATATGTATATTACCAGACCCAATAAATGTTCGTACTGAGAAATTACTATTTCGCTAGACAGAGGGACAGTAATTTAAATCTGACCCAGTACTGGTAATGCATTATTTAAGTACCTTCCCAATTACACACACATACACCTTTCAATAAATATGCATATTTTTCGATTAAGGCATAAAGGTGATCACAGAGAACACAAGATGAACAACAAAATTGTCGCTCTCAAAAGATTCTCGCAAATTAGTTTTGTGTTTCTTTTTTTCTTTTTCTTCGGCAACGACAAAGTGTTGCCAATTTTTTTTAGCTCATCTCGAAAAAAGTTTAGTCAATTTCGAAAAACCGGCAAACGTACAACACCATACGAACGATCGACAGACAACGCGGAGAAAAAGAATTTTCAAAACAAAAACGGAAAATCGAAACAAAAACGAAAAACACATAATAAAGACAAAATAGACAAGCATTGGGCTGTGTTGTGAAAATAGAAAAAAGTGAAAATAATAATAAAAAAATATTGTGAAATTTGGGACACATTTTTTGATTTAGCCAGATATTTGGGAAACGCAAGATAACGCAATAGAATGTATGTTTCGGGAGACAAAAGGGGGACTATCACGAAAAATGCTGTGTTTTTTAATGTAACAAACATAAATTCCTATCCCCTGTATTTATAATTTTTGTTTAACGTTTCATTTCAGCTGACGAATGTAGCAGCAAAACACATCGGAAAGACCAAAATGGCAATACTTTTAGTACACTTGCGACGCCTCATACTTCTGATAAGCATCGTGTATTTGAGTGGCGCCTTTGTGCGAAAACTGCTGACAGATTCGCGTCAGGCCTACCTGGTACACATGAACAGCGGCAAATCCCTTTTGTGGGCGAAACATTTGCACTTCCAGTGGTGGGCCTACATCTATACGTGCTACGCCTATATTGTGCTGGTGAATTATGTGAATATGCGACGCTACACCACTCTGTTGGAATACTTCTTTACATGAATCGGGACGGGAAAGCATTTCCCAACTTTTTGCTGCCATCCCATCCCACCATCATCACAACGCAAAACGGGGAGGCACTTTTATCCAAAAGCTGAAAAGTGAAAGAAAAACCAAATTATTTGCTGTGCAATAAAAAGAAGATCGCAATAAAAACGAATGTGCATTATTTGTTTGTCGTGTTTTTATTTTTCTGTGTTTCTTTTTCAATCGTCTCGTTTAGTTTTGCTTTATGATTTGTTTTGTGGCATGCCCGAGATTGTTGTATTCTATTTTTGTCGTTAGATTTATGTCTGAATATACACAGATTTGATGAAGTAAATCATAATATACGTATACGTTTATATGTTTGTACGACTATGTGCAGAAAGAATTTTGTCGTCATCGGAGGCATCACGAGGAAGATCGTTGTGTACGAGGCCCTAATAAATAATAGAAAAAATCGAATCATGCATTAAATTTTTCATTCCGTTTGCAACACCTCGAAATATTCACCGAAGGCCTGGATCAAACTAAAATTATATGTCGATTTATGTATATCCGCCTATTTAATCATGATTAGAGCTCGCAATATTTAAGATATTCAAGTGAAATTTGGCACTATTCCTGGGATGTTTGGTATTGAAAATTGTGTGTAACGGTACACCCAAATATTCGGATCAAACTAAAATTATATGTCGATTTATGTATATCCGCCTATTTAATCATAATTAGAGCTCGCAATATGTAAGATATTCAAGTGAAATTTGGCACTATTCCTGGGATGTTTGGTATTGAAAATTGTTTGTAACGGTACACCCAAATATTCGACGTTTTGAAAATTGTTTCACGTTTTTAACCGAATTGGCTATTAACTGGTAAATTGAGTTCCCATTGGGTAGCAAATATTCCTACAAAAAATGATTGATATTGTTCCACTTCTTAGAATAGTACCCATATTCCACTACACTCCCTAATACTCGTTACAGTGTACATTTTAAATCAAATGGGACATAATTCAGTATTTTAAATTTTCATGGGGTCGCCAACCTACTTCTACCAAAAATTATAAATATTGACCCACTGTTTAAAATAGCTCCCATATAACCGAACCCCCATTATGTAGTATTTTTGAAACGTTTTCAACGGATTGCCAGTACTTTGGTATTTGAGTTCAAATTAGATACCAAATCTCCCTAAAAACCAATATAGAAATCAGTGAAGTCGGACGGACCTGCTATATGATACCCTTTACCACTTTGAGTTAATTCAACAGATACATCCAAACAGACGTCGCACTATGCCGAAGAGTTCATATTAACAGCGGTCAAAAAAAGAAGGAGTTATCGTAGGTGGATGAAATTTGGTACAAGTGCTTATTATTGACCTTAAGAGCAACTTAGAAAAAATTACATAGACCGGACCAAGATTACATATACCTCCCAAATAATGGGTCTCGAAAAATTCACTCTTTTAAGTCATAAAGGTGATCACAGAGAACCCAAGACGAACAACAAAATTGTCGCTCTCAAAAGATTCTCGCAAATTAGTTTTGGTGCTTATTTTTTCCTTTTTCCTCGAATCTACGTAGGTCTATAAAGCAGCCGACAAAAAACTGGATAGATGGGACCAAGAATTGGTATACCTCCCATACAAAGGGTCTTGAAAATTTGCTTTTTGGGCCTATAAAACGTTCAAACTCACCCAAATTTAATTTACCTCAAATTTGAGCAAAGAAAGTAATAATAGTTGAAATTTATGTGTTGGTCCACGTTTTAGAATGCCTACCGTACCAAAAGACCATGAAAAAAATAACTTTCTATACTATAAAATCGTTTTATTTTTGTTATTTTTATACCCTTCACCATAGTATGGAGGGTATATTAATTTTGTCATTCGGTTTGTAACTCATCGAAATATTCATTTCCGACCCTATAAAGTATATATATTCTTGATCAGGGTAAAATTCTAAGACGATATAGCCATGTCCGTCCGTCCGTCTGTTGTAATCACGCTATCTTTTGAAGGAATTGAGATAGGGTGCTGAAATTTTGCATAGGTTTGTCTTTTGTCTGCAGGCAGTTCAAGTTCGAAGATGGGATATATCGGTCCACGTTTAGGTATAGCTACCATATAACAGTACTCCCAATTTTCGGTATTTTGGGGTTCTTGAGCGCGTTTTTCAACCGAATATAACGGTACCTCCTAATTTTCAGTATTTTGGGGGTTTTTATCGTATTTTTCCACCGAGTTGGCTGTAATTTAGTATTTTGAGTTCTTAATATGTAATAAATCTTTCCACAAAAAACTATAAATATAGGTAAATTTTTTCGGATATCCCCATATAAGGGTACCCCCCAATTTTCGGTATTTTGGGGTTCTTGAGCACGATTTTCAACCGAATTCGCTGAAATATGGTACATTGGGTTCTTACTGGGTACCAAATATTTCTATTAAAAATTGTAATTATAGGTCCATTTTTTCATTTCAAATACCTGTCAGTATTCTATGGTGGAGGGTATCCAAAGTTCGGTCCGGCCGAACTTAACGCTTTTTCACTTGTTATTATAATAAAATATTTAATATACTTTAGTTAATCATACACTGATACTGATTTATCATTCATCAGATTTTCAGACCACACATCAGAAATATATAGGATATTGTTTTGCCAAATGTACGATTTAGTATCATCCATGTTATAATTTCGGGCCTCTATTTTATGGCTGTAACAACGTCGGATTGTAATATAAAATACTGAATAAAATCCTTATTTGACTCAGCT